ACTAAGTGAAGTCCAAGAGAGAGAGAGAGAGAGAGAGAGAGAGAGAGAGAGAGAGAGAGAGAGAGAGAGAGAGAGAGAGAGAGAGAGAGAGAGAGAGAGGGGAAAAAAAAGAACTACGAAATCCCAGGCCTAAGAGTAAATGCAACGTGTGGAGGAGTTGCAATTGTTAATCTCCATTACTAAAGGCCGCAACAGTTTGGAACAGTGTTATAAGTGACATTTGCTACTAAGCACTAAGAACAACGATGTCCCTATTATCCAATGTAGCCAAATATGCTGGTTCAATTCAACTATACTTCTCTGTTCTTTAAGCTGCCACTACCTCCGTGAAGAGATGAAATACAAAAGTTATGCATTTTATGTAATCGACACAGAACTTGCACAAGAAATCAAATGAAGTTGGAGAGAGAGAGAGAGAGAGAGAGAGAGAGAGAGAGAGAGAGAGAGAGAGAGAGAGAGAGAGAGAGAGAGAATTGGCGAACTGAGGCAAAACAGTTCGTGCAGCCATATAAAAGAGATCACAAAAACTTAAGCACAATTGCAAAAAAGTGTATCCCAAGTATGAAAAAACTGCAATAGAGCAAACTTGCGGTCCCTCGACCGGTTTCGCCCAATCCGCCTGGGCATCGTCAAGAGGGTGACTCCACTGAGTCTTCGTGCTCGAAAAGGGAGACCTAAGCCTTGTCCCCTGGCCTATATACTGTTCATCCCCACCTCTTCCCCCTCGGCCGACCCCTACGCCTCGTCTCGGCTTTCCCCTATTCAATCATAGTACTTAAGAATACGCCATTCAAGACTGCAGACGCCCCGGTCATGGTCCACGTACCCCAAGAACCCCTCCATTGACTTAATCCTAAACCTTCCCCGAATCTATACCCTATTCCGTCCGGATCCATCCTGATCCGCTTTCGCTGTTTATCGCATCCATCCGTCCCGACCGGTTGTGTCCGCCCGTATCTCCCGTAGGTTAGTCTGTCTTAGTCCACCCGCCTACCGCGGGCGTCGGCTTCCATTCTCCGAATTACAAAATTGCAAAATTACAAAATTTATCTAAACCCCGACTTCAAACAGAGTTCCCCTGTCTTCGCCCTCAGCTACCAACCCCGACGTACCCGGGCTCCCGGATAGTCCTACCTAGTGAAGCCAAAACAGGTATATTTCCCGGTGTCCCAAAATAGAATGCATCAAAACAAAATGAGAACGACCGACTTTCAAGCGGATAACTAAGCTCGGAAATAATCGAGATCGAAAACGCAAAGCCGGAAATGAAAGTGAAGAGAACCAAAACCGAAAAAAAAAATGAAGAGAACCAAAACCGAAAAGGACCGATATTCATAAAACCACCATGAGGACGAAGACACCTGCTTCAAAACGACTAAAATTAAAAGAGCCGAACAATGTAATAAATTTGAAAATTTAATAAATTTGAAAATCCACTCTCGTATCCTCCGCTACAGGTCGTCGTTCCATGGTTCGGAGTAGCCCTCTTCTCTCCCGACTCTGATATCAGCCATTCGCCGATGGGTCCGCTCCATCTTCAGCCTGTATGCCGAGAAAGTGAGAGCAACGAACAACTTTTGCAGCGCTTGTCCTGGCGCAGCCTTGGCCAAATCGGCCAAAGCACCGAGAGAGACCTCCGGGGGGGGGTAACCCCGGAGGTCTGCTTCACATATCGCGTATCCAATAGCTCCCAAAACCAGCTGCTTGTTAGYGGCTTGGTCCCATAGCCTCCTAGTAGTCATTGACAACACTGCTATTTTCCCGCTCTTTGCGGAAAAGGACTGGTAGTCCTGAATTGTCTGGAACCGCAGCTTGCCCTCATGGTGCAGAGCATCCGTGTTCTTCGTGGTCGGAACGAAATGCAGTTGCAGTGGTCCTGTGCAGATCATCATCAGTCCCCCTACAAAATCCCAAGTCAGTCCACATTCGTCCTTCCGGATCACCTCCAGGTGTCTGTCATAGATATTCTCAAACAGGTTGAACACCTCTTCCTGGTCCCGGTCATCTCCCTCGGGTTCATTCCTCCCAACGACGATAGTAATATCATCCATGATTCGCCATCCTCCGACCAGTTTTCTGTCACATCCTAGACTGCTAATGAATCGCAGTTCGGCCATAGCGCATGTGATTGATGCAAGGATGGGGCTAGTCGATTTCCCCATCGGGATCCCAAAAACTTGCTTTACCAGCTTCTCCCCGCACCGTATCACTGAATGCTTCAGCTCAAATTCAACTGCTGACATTAGCTTCATCAGTGAAATGCTCACATATCCTTCGATTTTCCTCTTGTTGTTACTGATCACGCAGAGTTTTCCTCTCATCGATACTGTGATCTGCTGGCATCCCTCGTTTTCGTATTTCCGAAGCAGTGAATGAACTACATAAAGCACGGCCTCATGCGGAATCCTTAAGAACATCTACTTAATGTCATAGCACCTTCCGATAGCCCTTTCGCAGCCTGCTGCCCTCAGTCTCACCGTCATAGCCCCCAACCTTTCAGCCAGCTCAGAGACCGAATTCATATAGAACGTGCAGTTCGCAGGTAACCTCACCAGTAAGCAGTGCAGTGCGCGGGCCACCCGACGTTGAGCCAGCGCAGCAGGATCAGTAGCTGCCAGTGCGATCGGTCTCCATCGGTTCAGATCTTTGTGCTTTGGTATTACGTACGCTGTTCCGAGGCACCCGTCTGGTCTCCATCCTCCGATGGTGTGTAGACCCCGCTTCATGAAGTCTGCCTTGCTTGCCTTCATCATCTCGGCTTCCGCCTTCAGCACCCCCACACGTTCGTAATTAGCGTTCCAGGAGAACATCTTACTGAAACCGTATCGGTACAGAATAGGATATATGACAGCCGTTTTCCCTTGATTCCGATCGATCGGAGTCAGAACGAACCCTTGGAACCTCCGACCCCATTCCCGTGTCTCGGCATAGGTCCAGGCCGGACTCTCTGAGTTCCGATCAGTCCCTATCATACTCGGCACAATCTTCGGACTGGGTGCACCCTTGAGGTGCTTCGTAGCCTCACGGATCGCCTTCCCGATCGTCTCCTCTACGCATGCATGTGCCGCCCTAGTGATGTTTCTCACATTCCTTACGAACATCGGTATATCCAGTTTAGTGAACCTAGTAAGCACATGCCCCTCGTGCTTGGGCAAACTAGCCTCCCTACATGCACAGACTTGCTCCCGTTCAGTTGCGTAACTCTTATGGTTGTGCAGTAATTTGGCAACATTCCGGTTTCGTACCCATACTATCTGAATCCTGGTCTGCAAAAACAGAGCCAGGTGCTCGTCCTTAATTGCTGCTTCAATGACCAGGCCAGTAGCCTCTCTTATGCCTTCCTTCTTAATACGAGGATCAAACAACAGTTTTACGCAGATCTTTCTCCTAACGCTGACCCTGGTCTTTCTATTGATAATTCTATCTAGCTTCGAACGCAGTCTGAACTTGGTCTGTTTCTCGGTGAAAAGCCCAGCAGTCTTATATAGCCCAATAAATCTTCTAGTTGGCATCGACGCCAGCTGCGATTCCGCCCTTGGACGGCGCAGCAATGATCCCAGAAATTTCTTATTACGTTCCGTGCATGATTTTGACTTAACGATTTTACAGAATCGTACCTCCCCCCCTACCTATAAGGCTATCTTCGCATTCCGGAGTCTCAAAACCTGCTCTTTAATCTCCACCTCCGTATCCCCGAATCTTCGTCTAATCTTCCTCCATCCGTCCGTCCATATCGTACCCCCCGAACTCACCACCTCTATCGTTCCTTCACCATTGTGCTCTTCCAGCGAAGTCAGTATCGACGTATATTCGATGTTGTGTTGTTTGATAGTCACGGTCTTGCCCCCTTGCTGCTTGTACACTCTCCCTCTCCTTTCTCGTCTACCGCTTCTACTCCGTCTTGCTCGGAATCTTTCCGTCTTCCCCACGTCCCGGGTGTCCAGGCTAGGATTTAGATCTGCAATCAGATGTCGTTCAAACGTATAATCATCTGCCCCCTTCACGTGTCTAATTGGAATAATCACATACGTATCCAGTTCAAACTTCCTAAGCCATCGATATAGGTGTGGAGCTTGGCCCAGTAAATCACTCAGTGTATTCCTACAATGCTCCCTCCATCTCTGGATCATCGGTCGTACCGTGCAGCCTACATACACTTCTTCGTTCATGAACTAGCTATAACATATTCTCTTCCCGTGTCCAGACTTAGCAAGCTCTTCAGATCCCGTGTTTTCCCCACGAACTTCTCCAACCAGGGGATCTGCCCTTGCAGTACCAAGAGTATAGTAGTAGTACTAATCGCACATTCCACTTTTCTGCTTGCCTCCCCCGTGATTCCCAACCCTCGTAACACTGACTTCTGGTGCAGCCCGTTGTTAAGCGAATCCCACAGGTCCTCGTTAGTGGGGGCTGCTCCCCATCAATCGGAGTCCTCGGCTGGTTGGCTCGGTGCAGACCGTATAATCACCGGCACCTGTCTAGCCGGCTTCTCCGAGGTAAGCTTCTCCTTTCTGAACTCCTGTCATGGTGAGCCCGAGGCCTTCGTCTTGGCTGATGACTTACCCTTCTCCCGTGCCTCCTGCATTTCCTCGAATCCGTCGTAAGCCAGCTGTACTTGGTGCCTGGCCAGTATTTCCACGATCTCTGGCTTCTTGGTGTACTTAATCCCCTTCTTCTCACATATCTTCCTCAAAGCGTCCGCCTTCTTTGCTGAGTATATCTTGTGATCAGAGACAATAACCGATCAGTCCCTTCTGTGAGCACCCTGCCGCTAGTCCCTTATATCCGCCGGTAAGTGGTGTCACTGGTTCGGTTTCTTCTTCTCGTTGCGTCCCTGCATTCTCCGCCACCCCCTCCGGGCCGGTCCTCCGTGGTCGTGAGCTCTCACCTCTTTCGTAAACTCTCGGTGGAGTATGTTCGTACGCCGCTTTTGCCTTCGCCTTCGTACCTCTTCTTCCCTTCCCTTTCGAAACCATAGCTTTCCATCTTCCTCTTGGTCTCGTACACGCCCGTTGTCCTTCAGAATCCGAATCGGAAGTCGTTTTCGTATCTTCGCTCTCTTTCGACGTGCTCCCCGAATCCGTATCGTCGCTCACCGTCTCTCACTTTGTCTTCCTGCTACCCCTTCTTCTTCTCTTCCCCCTCCCTCGACTCGTCGTCTTCTTCTTCTTCTTAGTGGAGCCCTTCGTCTTTACCCCTGCCCTTGCTGCCTCTGCCTGGTTCTTTCTCCACTCTTCTAGGAGTTCCGCGCGCAGTTGGAGTTTAAACTCCTCTGCTTTCCTGGCGAAGTCCTGGTTTCGTCGCAAGTCCTCCTCCTCCCTTGCTCTTCTCTCTTCCTCCTGTTTCCTCTTCTCTTCTAGCTCCAACTTCTCCTTTCACGCGATCCTAAAATGTTCCTTGATCTCCTCGAGTTCCGGATCGTTCTGGGAATTCCCAAAACTACGACCCCTCTTAGACCAGCAATCACGCGCGTAGTGTCCTACCTTCCCACATGTGAAGCATGCATTGCCACTGCCGCCTGGTCCTCCACCCCCTCCACCGAAACCATTAATCACCAGTCCTTGTCTTGTTACGGCATTCTGATTCGTATTGTTCCCGTTTCCGTAACTGTTACCTCCCGTCCCGTTTGTGAGGAACATCATGCCATATACTGTGTTCCTGGTTATGCACCACTAACCGTTCGTTTGTGTTCACGCTAGTGTTCCCACCCTGTCCGCTCCCTATTTTAGCTCCTAACTTTATGAAGTGTGTTCTACCGTTATTGTCACTGTCTCCAGATATCCACGATTTCACGGTATCGCATCCTGCGCCTAGTTCTGAGGGCTAGCAAAGTAGTCTCTATCTTGATTAGTAGACTTATAAGACAGTCGTACAACCCTGCTCTCAGAGTCTTGTCCGTTACATAACCGATCATGAAGTGCATCAGTTGGATCGTGTTCCTAACGTAATCTTCGAGCACTTGTATCAATCGGGCACGCACGGTAATTCGTCTTCAAACCATCCCGCACCCCCCACCAAGGGTACCCCCGCATCTTGTACACAAGCCCGACATTGTGTCAAAGAGAAGTCCCGATAATGATCATGCCGATTCCTAACAACATCACTCCGATCCCGAACAGTACAGTCCTGATATCAAAACTCCCCTTTTGCGTCATCACCTCTCACTCCTTTCTCCTAAACGTGAACCAGGAGAACTCTACGTAACAGTGACTGCTACAGTACATACGTGATCTCCCCTCCCTCGTCTTCAAAACCGGGTAAGTAACCGACGTCGTCGGAGTCTGTATGTACTGTCCGCCGCACCTTAACCGTCCATTCGACGTTCCCCAATATGATTTCGGTCTTGAGTTCAGATTTAGTCCGTCGCCCTACTCCTTTCTCGCACTTACCGCCCGTGTGCGCCGAACTCCTCTACCATAGTCCTACCTTAGTATTCCAATGAGTTGTTGCTCGTGTCCCCCTGTTTAGTCTCATGATCCCACTCCCCGTCCCTACTCGTCTTCTAGTACGTATCCCCCCTATTTGGTGAGTGTCGCCACCTCTTGTCTGCGATATCTACCACCACCATATGTCGACGCAACCACCGCCCAGCGCATAAAACTGCCGGTTACTACGTGCCTATGAGTTGGCGAACTGCGGCAAATCAGTTCGTGCAGCCATAGCAAAGCAATCACAAAAACTTAAGCACAGTTGCAAAAAAGTGTATCCCAAGTATGAAAAAGCTGCAATAGAGCAAACTTGCGGGCCCAATCCGCCTGGGCATCGTCAAGAGGGTGACTCCACTGAGTCTTCGTGCTCGAAAAGGGAGACCTAAGCCTTGTTCCCTGGCCTATATACTGTTCATCCCCGCCTCTTTCCCCTCGGCCGACCCCTACGCCTCGTCTCGGCTTTCCCCTATTCAATCATAGTACTTAAGAATACGCCGTTCAAGACTGCAGACGCCCCGGTCATGGTCCACGTACCCCAAGAACCCCTCCATTGACTTAATCCTAAACCTTCCCCAAATCTATACCCTATTCCGTCCGGATTCATCCTGATCCGCTTTCGCTGCCTATCTCGTTCGTCCGTCCCGACCGGTTGGGTCCGCCTGTATCTCCCGTAGGGTAGTCTATCTTAGTCCACCCGCCTACCGCGAGCGTTGGCTTCCATTCTCCGAATCACAAAATTGCAAAATTACAAAATTTACCAAAACCCCGACTTCAAACGGAGTTCCCCTGTCTTCGCCCTCGACTATCAACCCCAACGTACCCGGGCTCCCGGATAGTCCTTCCTAGTGAAGCCAAAACAGGTATATTTCCCGATGTCCCAAAATAGAACGCATCGAAACAAAATGAGAACGACCGACTTTCAAGCGGATAACTAAGCTCGGAAATAATCGAGATCGAAAACGCAAAGCCGAAAACGAAAGTGAAGAGAACCAGAACCGAGAAAGAAAATGAAGAGAACCAAAACCGAAAATAACCGATATTCAGAAAACCACCATGAAGACGAAGACACCTGCTTCAAAACGACCGAAATGAAAAGAGTCGAACAATTTAATAAATTTGAAAATTCACTCCCGTATCCTCTGCTACAGATCGTCGTTCAGTGGTTCGGCGTAGCCCTCTTCTCTCCCGACTCTGATATCAACCATTCGTCGATGGGTCCGCTCCATCTTCAGCCTGTATGCCGAGAAAGTGAGAGCAGCGAACAACTTCTACAATGCTCGTTCCGGCACAGCCTTGGCCAAATCGGCCAAAGCACCAAGAAAGAGAGAGAGAGAGAGAGAGAGAGAGAGAGAGAGAGAGAGAGAGAGAGAGAGAGAGAGAGAGTGAGAGAGAGTGAGTGAGAAAAAGTGAGAGAAAGACAGAGAGACAGAGAGAGAGACGAAATCCCAGGCCGAAGAGTTAATGCAAAGTCCTACACTTTGTCCTCATATTGTTCTGATTCTAAACCACTGCATTAATGGTGATCATAGACAACTCGTCACTAATTTTTTTTACGTATCACTTTCGATTTTTATTTTTTATCGGCACTTTGCTTTCGTAACCTCGCATTTTGAATCATCTATCATTTTACGGACTAATATGCATATTTTTTTTTCCCCATTTATTATGTGTCTATATGACAGGTATGTCTCCTCTCGCATCAATTGAAAACTATTAACCAGTTTTTGCCTCGTTGATGTTTCATG